AGTGACCTTACGATGCCATGCTTAACGGACTTGGAGTGAGCACTAGTGAAAGGGAGGACTGGCTTCTCCGACCTCTGCTGGAAGGCCCAACAAACACCTGAGGAATGAGGATGCAATCGTAAATCCAGAAATTGTAATCCTTCCACTGAAGGATTTTCCCGGGTAAAAGTTAGCCCTACCGCACAGTCTTTGAAAACTTCAAAGATGCTGTCAGCGGACGCAGCGTCTGGATAAATGACCAAGTAATCGTCAACATACCTAAAAACTAGGCAACCCTGGAAGGACTTTTTCAACTGATCGTTGATAGCCCTTTTTCTGCATTTTTCTGATACTAAAAAACTGGGCGGGCACAACAACAGATTTGGGAGAGAGATCATCGAATCATTTGCCATGGGGACTGTTAGCAACAACATTTCTGCACCTTCATTATCATTGACAAAGACAGAGGTCGAATTCTTAACACCAGAGATGACTAGAATACTGACACCTCGTCGTGACGCTACAGCTTTTTAGACTCTTATATTTATAGTACATTTCCCTTTTTGGACTGCAAACAAGAATAATTCTGCATTACCACTGACAATGGCAAAGGTTGAATTCCAAGTAATCGGAGATAACTAGATTACTGATGCGCTTTTCAAACTTTTCTATTTAGTGTATTCCCTTTCCTTTATAACTAGTACCTCCTTTCCCTCTTTGAGAACGTTGAGACCCTTGGGGGGCGGTTTTATCGTTGTGCCATTCTATGTTGTTGCTAAATGAAAGATATGTCCTGTTCCCGTCCTCGTCCTCTTTGTTTTATACTTTCAAGTTTTGTATCTCCAGCGTTCTCTCCGTAGAAAGAGGTCGAGGAGCTTCCACTTCACTCGTATAGCCTGTCACCAACTATAAATACGAAGTCAACGGGAATCGGAAATCCCTTCGATATATCCGCTATTTCGTTATAACCGACTCGTTATAACGAAGTGCAAAAGGGAATGGAAAATCGTGGTCGCTTCGCTGTAGCCGCTATTTCCTTATAACCGACTTCGTTATAACCGGCCTCGACAGTAATGGCGAATTCGGGTGGTCATTTTCCGGCAAAATATTTTGCCACGTCTTCGGCAAGGGCGTTCGCGTGGTCAAAGGCTTTGGCGAGTGCGCGCCGTTCGGACGGCGCGCCTCTCAGGCGTGTGCCGGCAATTTACCGGCACAATGTTTGCCCGATCTGCAAGAGGTCGGGCAGCTTATCTGCCAGACTGTATCCGGTATCGTCACATCCGAATAGGGAAAGAGAACCAAAGGAAACAATGTTCGCCGATAGCGGATTCGACAAGAAAACGAAACCGATGAGACAGACACCCCATTGTGTTCCGAAAAAAGATAGCAAAAACAACGAAGATACAGATATAATATTTTAAAGGAAGCTCGCGCAAGGTCAGTTTGCTCTGGGACACAGCGTATTACTACAACGCTGTAAAAAAAAAGTGGTACAGTTTGACACTTGAACGTGCATTCCAATTTCAATGGAGTGTACGCAAGAAAAAGCCGAGGATTACAAAAAAAAAAAAAAAAAGGTAATAACAAAGAAAATAAGAGTGTAAGCCTTCTTGGAGCCTCGTAAAAAGCAACAATTCGGAAATCTAAACAAATTATATTAAGATTTGTCGCATCTGGCTCCACAGATTTATTAATCTAAAAATTTTAAAATAGTGAATTGACGGGCTGGATGGTCGTTAACATACATGGCTCGTCCTGTGTTTTACTTCTTATATGTGCCGTCTTTCTTGCGCTACTCTTTTAGCATGTATGTTAATTAAACTGCCCTCCTATTAAGTTTATACCTCAAGATCTTGTAAGCTGTGCTGACTGTGGTTATGTCAATAAATGTATATATGTAAAAACAAAAAAAAACAACATTGTGACGCTACTTTTGTTTATCCACATCTCAGAGTCCGCCCATATGTTGTTGTCTATTGAATCAAACAATAATCGAAGAAGTTAACAAAGCTCACGCGGGATTGGTCACGTGGTTCGCCACTGGCGCGGTTTTCGTTGCCGGTGCTGCCGGGAAGGGCCCTCCGGCGGTTGACCACGCGAATTCGCCATATGGAGGCCATTCAAGGTCACACTGCGAGTGTTACGTCATGGTTCTACGTGACGTCATCGTGTCACGTGACTTTATGATATCACGTGATCTCGTAATGTCACGTGACACCACGGCATCACTGACGTGACGTCGCGTCACATCATGACGTCACGTGATCTCGTAATGTCACGTGACACCACGGCATCACTGACGTGACGTCGCGTCACATCATGACGTCACGTGACACAATGATGTCATGAAGTCACGTGACGTTATGATGTCACGAGACACGGGCGATTGTTCTGTATTATCGCTCGACAGGTTGCGATGGAGATACTGTAAAACCCTTTATTTTCGCGGCCCCAATTTTTCGCGAATCGGTCACAGATGACATAATCGCGACCACTAAATTTCGCGAATTGCAGACGCCTGCATTGAAAATTTTAAGGACCGAAATTTTCGCGCGCCCTTAAATTTCGCGAATTCTTCAATTCGTGAAATTCGCGAAAATTTAGGGCTCGCGAACATTAAGGGTTTTACAGTAATCATGCAATAATTTTTAAAGGCGCCTTTTGTGACAAAGAGCAAACAAGCGTCTATTTTTGTATACCCTAGTTTTCTTAATCCTTTTCTTTCTCACAATCGTTAGAAACGTGAACGATAAAGCTTTTTTTAATTAACTTTATATGTGTGTGTGTGTGTGTGTGACAGAAGTGCAGTTCAATGACAGACAGAGAGAGAGAGAGAGAGATGTAAATGGCGTCGAAGGAAAGGAGAAGCACCTTCCAGGAGCCAATCTGCACAAGCTTCCGGCACGATGTTATGTAAGTCAAATGTCGCACGTTCGCGACGAGCTATATTGAGAAGAATGCGAGAGGCTAGAAAAGATGACGCAACACACATAGCTTTTCTCTATGTTTACTTTATTTTATTGTTTGTTCGGGCCCTTTTCCCCGTTACTCTGATTTTCGTGCTTATCCATCCGTCGCGTTCCCGTTCCAGCGCTGCTGAAAAAGTACAAACACACAAAAAAAAAAAAAAAGAAAAAGACGATTACACCCTTAGGTGTAAGTTAGCTTGTCCCAGGACTACAACGCCGCTGGCAAGGACCCTAAAAATATGATGCTAGCGATCTTAGCAGCCTGATATAGCAACAAATTACGAGCAACAAATGTACGAGCAACATGAGCAGCACGCAGATATAACGTAGACAGAAAAGGCAAATACAGCTAGACGTTAGACGCACGATCTCGTACGAGGTCGGAATCGCGACCTTGTTGAATGTTCCACCGCCGTATTTACTCGAATTTCAGTGACACTCATCCGCAAGTGACCCTCTTCGTTATTACGAAAGTTGCCGGTATACGTTGCTTTATTCTTGTCAATACCCCACATAAAGCGTACTATCTAAGTTCAAGGAATGTATCTCCAAGTAGAAAGCATCGGTAGGGGCAACAATTATTCGCGCGTTCGTCACATTTCACCCTTTTCCCACGGCCTTTTACAGCCACAAGGGTTTTGCAACACTTTCTCTTGCGATCAAAAAGGGTGTATTAAATAGAAATAAAGGTGCTGAAAGGGTGCTGGAACAGGGGTGGATTTATGAGTCAGGGTGGGGGGAAAAGGGAAGGGGGGTATCTGCAGAGAGATGATGTCACGGGCGAAACGTTGCCCAGATTTATTTTGTTCAATTGCTATATGTCACCAAAAACTAAACATTTCTTCCTAAAAAAAAGTCGGTGTGTCAAAAAGAAAAATGACCTTGGAGGGCTGTTTCAACTTCCAATACGCGCCCACGTTCATACTTTTTTTTTTTTTTTTTTACATTAACGAACGTTTCGATCAGCCTGCAAGCAGAAGGAAGCTTCAAAAATCAAGATGGCACCTTCATCACAACGAACCAACCATAAGACATCATGATGACGTTACATCATTAACGTCACAAAATACGTCAGGGGCGAAACTTGACCCTCATGATTGCGTTAGCTTCCGTTTCCAGCAACATCGACTTCTTTTTTTTTTCTTTCCTGGAATTGTGCGCCTGCCTCGGATTTCCGAAGAGTGAATTCTTTCTACTTTTATATTTCTTCCCCTTTAAACGTGATTGCAACATGAATGCTTCATGCGTCTACCCGAAATACTGATTAAAAGCGTGTCTCTGTAAAACGGCGGTCACACTGCCAAATACATCGTACGAAAGACCGCCTGTGGACTGCCTGTATGATGGTCGTTTCACATCGGTTATACGAAAACTGTCTTTAGACATGTTCCGAGCATACACTAACGTAAAAGTTTGGGCTAGTGGGTATTTCATGATTAAAAATTAAAACAGCGCAAGGACACGGACAAGGACAAGAAGTGTTCTTGTCCGTGTCCTTCTTGTTCTTGTCCGTGTCCTCGCGCTGTTTTAATTTTTAATCCAAGCATACACATCATATTTTGTCACCATGCCTGCAGCGAACACCGTTTCTTCTCTGTGATGTATGTACATAAAAAAATCGTGACATAAAAACAAAAGCAAACAAGAAAAAAAATGACGGCTTCTCCACGTGGTGAATGGTGTTGATTGGGCTCGAAACTCTGGTGGTGCTGATGATACTGATTTTGTTCATAGATAGTGCTGATGGTGCCGATTTTTTTTTTATTGCTCGTTTCATGCAAGGTTTCATCCATGACATCCCCAGCTCCTGAGTTACTACCACATCTCAGAGCCCCCTACTCGTCCCACAGTCGTGGCCGAGTAGTTAAGGCGAGGGACTAGAAATCCATTGGGGTCTCCCCGCACAGGTTCGAATCCTGTCGACTGCGCAAAGATTTTTTTTTTTCTTTTTAAGAGGACAGATGGGATGGCAATCAATGTGAGCACGGACGCCGGACGGACAAGGCTAGACCCTAAGGAGCTTCGCCCCTAAAAGAAAGATAGCGCACGCACCTTTATCAGCTTGGGGAACACGTCGGCCGGCTGTCCCCGAATCACGAAGAGCCGCGAGTTGAGCTTGCGCAGCCTGGCATCCAAGTCTTCGAGACACTGGAGCAGGAACCTGCGGCGAACGCGCACCGTCAAACTTTCCCGCGCGGCCACCACCGGTGCCAAAAGCGGACCGGAAGCCACCACACCTCCATTTGTTGAGCCCGGCGTTGGAAGATCCCGCGAACCAGGGATCCAGAATGTAGATGCACCGGCACGTCCTGGCACCCTGAAGTCCGACTTTCAACGAGGGCTGGTCGTGGAGCCGCAGGCCCTTCCGGAACCAGTGCACCACGTTCCGCCCACCACTTTCCGCCGTGGTAGACGTCTGGGACGTGGACATTAGGGAACGCGATCACGTCCGCCGCGACCCTTTACGTAAGCCCCGACCTTCCGACGTCGGGCGCGACCGTCTGCCTCATCTTCAGGGACTGCGAGTGTGTTCCGGCGGTGCAGATGTCCAAGGAGCTCGGCGAGCACGACCGCGAAAACGTGACCGGCGCCCGGTGGCACGCCTCCATTGGTGCGCGACGTCTGCGACGTCATGCGGACGAGACCGCCGTCGCTATGGTCACGTTGACGGTCACGTTGAAAGCGTCGTGCTCCGACGGCTAGGAAGACGCCCCCTCGTTGGAAATTGTTGCTGCTGGAGTCGGGACTCCCCGCGCCAGGCATCACGTGGTCGGCGAGCCGCAGTGTTCTCGATCGGGGTTATGTAACCCGAGAAAAAGCACCGTGGGGAGGCTTGCTTCCCCTTTCTCTGATTGCCGATAAATTCGCGCCCGTCGACGGATTGAGATGTTCGGATGGCGCGCGGCCTGCTTTTCTGAGTGACGAGCGCGAAAGTATGTCGAAGGCTAGGTACCGGTGTCAGAGTCTGGTGTGGTCTTGGGGTAGATCCTCGTTTTGCGGAAATGACTGTGTTGTTAGCTTCAAATAAAACTAGGGCTGGGCGTCGATTAAAGTTTTCAACCCGATTGATCGTCACCCTTTAATTTATTAATCAATCCCGGTACATAATTTGTTTTAGAGAGCAGCTCTTAGGCGCCCGTTTCCGGAATGAGTGGCGTCGCCGTCGCCGTCGGCGTAACCGTGAGGTCGCGTGACCCCCCCCCCCCCCCCCCCCCGAGAACACGTTACCCTCAGTACCCTTCCCTCCTCCTCCTCCTCAACAGCTGCGCTCTAATTCGGCGTTACAGGGCCGAATTAGACGGTGAGCGGCTTTTATCTTTTCTTTACCTTTCAAAATATGTGGCAAACGGCGCAATATACCACTTTTATTTCCGTGGGAGGCAAGAAGCCGAAAAAGATTATGGCGTTTGTAGAAGCGCAATGAACCCGACAAAATAGGAGACTTCGTTATGGACATATGAAAACAAACAAACAAGCGACTAACAAACTAAATAACCAGTTAAATGCCTAACAATCTAAACAACTAACTAATTAACTAACTAACGAAAGACCAAACTGAATAAATAAGTAAACAACCCGATTTGTATTATTGAGCGTCGTGCTGGCGTGCGGTCCTGTAATTACTATAATTAGATGCTCCGCCTCCTGGATGGATGAGTGGATGGATGAATGCTAATGGCTCTACCCTTTTATATCGGGTGGTAACGAACACATAGGCCAGAAACCAAAAGTATGATTCATCCCCTCGCCTTTGATAACATTTTGCACGTGCAGCCCAAGCCCGGCGGAGATTACGTAACACCACGCGACGGCCACTTGATTTTCTGCAGTTTATAATACGAGAGGAATCTCCCTAAAAAATGTTTTAGCGTGACGAAGGTGGTCGCATGCGTAACAAGCTCGGGAAATGTTGGCCTCGTCTCGTGAACCACACTTTTCTAAAATAAGCAGCCCGATCAGCGTTTACACGACTTAATGGCGAAGCAACTTTACGTGACCACTCAGGCGAATTAGAGGCAATGGAATTAAGAAGGATGACAAAGCGAATTAAGGGGAATTAAAGTGAATTAAGAGGAATTAAAGTGAATTATGAGGGATTAAAGAGAAGTAAGGGTAATCGATGGGAATTAAGAAGGACTATAAAGCGAATTAAGAGAAATCAAAGTGAATTAAGAGAGATTAAAGTGAATTAAGAGGAATTAAAGAGAAGTAAGGAGGACCGCGAGGAATTGTGTGCGAGAAATTTTGAGATAACATATGAAATAAATAAAGATAGTGTCAAAAAAGAGAATGTAAAAAAAAAATGAGAACGTCAAAGTAAGGTTAATTATGTGTCTGTCTTTAATGCATCCGCACTTGGGCTTTCGCCTTCAAGTCGCCTTAGGGAAAACATAAGAAACCCTGTATATTTTTCTGTTATATCACCAAAATTGACAGCGTTGCAGCTGTCAATGTATGGCCAAGTCTCTATAATGTACAATGGTTTTGCAGTTTGCGGGGCGGCATGGGCCCGTGCTCCCCCCAAAAGCTTTCATTTTGCTGGGGCCTCCTCTGCGCCCTCCCCCTCATACAGCATTTTGTCATGGGCGCCCCCCCCCCTCCCCCCTCCCCCCCCCCCCCCCCCCCGATACAAAATCCTGTCTACGTGCCTGTCAGTAAAGATACTGGATTTAGGAAATAGATTTTTAACACCGGCCGGGGGAGGGGGGGGGGGGGGGGGGTAGCGGTGCTATAATAATCCTCATAATTTATAAGCTTTTTTTTCCAGTGCAGTGGGCAACTAGTAAAAATAAACTTCCTTTCATTTTTTCTTCTATTTTATTTTTTTTTTTTTTTTGTAAACGATAATTTCTGCTGTAAATGTGCCCCCCCCCCCCCCCCCCCCCCCCTTCCCCGAGCAAAGAGAACACTGACTTGAAACTTTTTAAACCTGTGATTATCGGGTGCTTTTGAATACTGTTTTGTGGCATTGATGTCGTTCGAAAGACAATGCAATGCTCTTTCATTTGATATTATGTATGTATTGGTTTATACTGTTCATGCGCATTTGTAGCGTTGTGAATATGATGGCGCGGACCCTCACTTGCTCCGCTGGTTCATATTCCATGAACGATCTAGTGAAAATAACACGGTTCCAATGGAGCAGTTTTGTTAAGATGATGTCGGAACAGAATATAACGCTAGACTTCTTTGGTATTTGGACTACTTTTTGTTCATCTCTCCAAATATTGAACAGAAATTGCCATTTTTCAGCACAAATATGTTTTTAATGACAAGCGCTAGGGAAATTAAATTAGCTACAGATATAGTGCTTATAATTGGTAATATAAAAAAATTATTGTTGCGTAAATGTTTTTGTTGTTTAGATATTCTATATGAAACGTAGCGCTCTTTTTGTGCTTCGAGTCATGGTGCTTCAAATGCCGCTAAGGAAATAATTGAACTGTCATAAAATCTTTTATAACATTTAGAACTACAGTGGTTGCCCAAGAAGTGTACGCATGGCTTTTTTTTTTTTTTTTCATTTTCAGAGTCATAACGCTCCAGGAATTCTTCAAACTTACTTGTTTTTGACGCATTTCTTTTATGGACATCAAACAGATTTATTGGCATCTAATAACATTTATTGTATGAAATAGATATACATTGCGATGTATTCGATTTTCACAGTGATCATGCTTTGGTTTTTTGATAGGAGTAGAGCTTAGCTAATTAAAAAAAAACAATTAAAAACTGTTTGGGTGTTTTGATGCGCTACCTGGTGGACGGCAAACAAAACTGCTGATTTCTAATGTTCAAGAAATTTTCGAGGGCGGCGTTGGCGCCTGTATCATCATCTAGGGAGGCTCAAGTGAAGGTGGGTGCAACTGCTAGATCGGGGATGAAATGTCCGGTACCAGGAAGTCATCAGTTACTATTATAGATTATAAATAGAATGTGAAGCGGGGAAAATAAAGTTTATCATTAGCTCCCCTCTCTGTAGGAAAAGAAAGTTTGCCTTCCGGTGTTAAAAGAAATATATTACCTTGATCGAAAATTCCTTCCGCTCAACGGGCGGTGTTCAATAAAACGACTTCGATGAAACGGCGTTAGATAAAATGTCCGGACCCACATGTATAGTAGTTTCACCTGGGTCCGGACATTTCATCGAACAACATTTGATCGAACACCGTTTCATCGAACGCCATTTCATCAAAGTCGTTTCATCGAGCACCACCCACTTGAACAGTAGGAGTTCTATATTTAGAAACCCCAATTTGTTTTAGCACCGGGAGGATAGTAGTGTTGTAATATTCATTATAACTTATACTTCCTTTTTTCCAGTTGAGTATGGGCAACTATAATAATAAGAAACTTAATTTTTTCTCCTATTTCCTATTATATTTCAGTAAATAATAACTTCTGCTGTTAATGTGGCCAATAAGAAACAGGAACACAAACGACACTTTTTTTAAACCTGTGATCACCTTGTGCAATGACGAACGCACGTCCGTTTTAGGGCGTATCTTTGTCCTTGAAAAGACGACTCCACGTCGGATGATTAAGAAAAAAAGGCGTGTCTCCCCTTTTTGTTCACTTATTGTAACGGACATAACTGTGGAGATGTCGTATTTTCGACATACAGTACACACCTTTCCGAGAAACACTCGGCACCAGGGACAAGAGAACCTTTTAATGCGAAACCATTAACTGTATCATGGAGCGAAACCTGCGGCGTCTGTGGCCGTTGTCTATAGCAGCGAAAAACGACACCTGAATGCCCATTGGCTGAGCGAAACGGCATTTAAATTCCCATTCACTGCGACGCGTCATATCAGATGCCTCGTCGCCGAAGTCGGAAAGGCCGCTCGAGGTCAAAGCGGACGCGCCTCGGAAATAAAATACAATGAAAAGCACAGCAGCGCAGATGCATCGTCACGGAAACCGGCGGGTCGCTCAAGGTCAAGGAGGACGCGCCCCAAAAATAACGTGTAGGAATGCTTTTGCATTCCTACACGTTTTTTCGAGTTCACTCGCTGGGTTTCAGGCTATTCGCGACTCCAGCGAACTGTAGGGGGCGCGCTGGTAAGGAAAAATGGCGGACGAAAGGTGGTCGCTTTCGTCGTTCAGCACGCGGACCACCATATAGGTTGTATTCGTGAAGCGGTGCATGCTGGGACCAGCGCCATCTTGCCGTCCTCGAGAGCAGACAGCCGCGCGCGCACTCCCGTAGCGCCCAGCGACAGGTGACGGACGCGTCGTTGCAGTGCGCCGTATTTATGGTGTTTGCTCGCCCGCTAACGTGAAGATGTCTTCTTCAAGTGGTTGTCCACCGCTGGGTTTATACGGCCTAAGTTTAAGCGGACGGGAACGCACACGTTACGAGGAAAAGGTTAAAATGTGCGGCGCGGATCCGTTCGCGCTGCCGCCGATGGACCTAGTCCGGAACAGCAACCTATGGCCGCAGGTAGAAATGGGCGACATACACAACTACCTGATCCTCAAGACAA